AATATTGATAAGGCACAAAATTGAATCGTTCCAAACCTTTGCCTATGAAGGGACCTAATTAGAGTACCCAACTATGCTAAAAATTACCACTAGTCCACTGGGATCCCAAGAATATTTTGATATTCAAGCCCAAATAAAGTCCCATGGGATTGGGTTTAGCTATCAGGGGTTTAATGAGAAAGATCTCTTGACTAATTATAAAATACTGTAGAACGATAGAGAACTAAATGTATGACCTTATTTGAACTATATCCTATGTGACTTAAAACTTTTAACTTCAGTGTAATTTGGGGTACACAACTAACTTCCTCATTGTTACACTGTCATGAAAGCAGGGCCCCGATGGAAGAAATTCAATATCTTCAGCAACATCTAATCTTTTCAAATTGGAAAGTGTCTATAAGAACCTCAAACTCGAATGCAACTAAAAACATGTTAATTTTGATATTCAATAATTAACTCAAAATACAAAGCATACCTGTTCTATATTTTTGGGCAAAGTAGCTCTCTCAATGGCCTTGGGAGTCCATATCTTGACATCACTCTCAATTCCACTGCTAGCAAGCACTGTTGTATGCGGATGAGACTCAATGCAGTTCACAATATGCTTATCAGCTTCCATTACACGAATGAGCTCTCCATTCTTTTTCCTCCATATAAATATCCGGCCACAATCAGAGCCACTCACCACATACTCACATTTAGGCCCAAAGAAGCTTACACCCTTGACAGTCTCACAGTTCCGGTGTCCTTTATACACCTGGGGAGTACTTCGTTCATCAGCATCTACATTGGATGGTGAGGCTGCTGTGGGAAGATCAGATTCCAATTCACTAGCATCACTGCCCATAGACTTAGGAGAGGTTGGAATAGGATTAGGCCCCAATCCCATGTTGCGAGTAAAAAGATAGATGAACTCATCATTATATGAGACAAGAAGCTCGCTCTGATCAGAGAAGGCCAAGCCTGTTATTCCAATATGCTCATCACCAATCAAATGTGGAGGGCAAAAGTAATCCGTAGGTTGACCAAATGCAGTTGAACCATCCCATTTATATTTACGAATATCGTAGAGTCGGGCATATTCATCAGATCCTGCAACTACAAAGAAATTTGGGTTCCTTGGATCAATTGCAATTGCATTTAGATGAACTTCCGGCATATAACTCCTCCTATCATCAAGGGGATGGCATGTGAAAAGTTCTGTGGCGGCTTTACTCCTCAGATCAAACTGAAAAAGTATCAACAATGTTATGAAGGTCATAACATTCAGCAGGATTAGAATTTAGCATCCAGATCAGGCTACAACAAGGATACAAGTATCTACGACTTCCCAAACCCTTCCAGAAAAGATATTATATATCGTTGGAAGTTTCACAAAGTTGGAAAAGAAATTATAAATAGAATCTGATTATCAATTCTCAAAAGCTTTTGCCATCAAATATACTGTGAATGATCCAAGCGTTCAACATTACCTATGGTCCCAACCAAAACAAACTGAATAACTAGCAACCATAATTATCAAAGTGAATCAAGACTTACATGTTGAACTAATCCATCTTCACCACAAGTATAAAATATATGAGGGCTTCCAGGTTCAATAGCCAATTTATGAGCTCGTCCTTGATGTCTAGCCAGCAATGAAGTCTCCACCTTTCCACTTTCCAGAATTGTAGCATGCCGAACCTGCAATTCATCGAATTCGCATTAAGACGAAAAACTTTCTCAATTTCCATATTGGCCATTCCTTCTGAGCAGAAGTGATTAAAGGAGGCTGCTATAAGACAAGATGCGGCAAAATAATCAACTAAGTTCAACCTTAACAAGTAAGACCCCTTAACAAGATTAAACTTACTGAACCAAAGAAATGCCAAATAATATGGCGAAGATCATAAGATATCAATGACCCAGATACCAGAAAACAATCAAACAAAAGGACTGCTCATCCCATACTAATTAAATAAAGCATATTGCTTTTGGAGAAAGAAGCTATCCACCTGCCCATCCGCAGCACATGTAACTATACTGCGATCATCAGAATAAGGCATGATCTTTGCTTGAAAAACATTGTTATGATGGCCAGAATGGAATGTGAGCTTAACACGTGCGGTCTCCCAATCCCAAAGCATGACCCGCTTGTCATCAGAACCAGAAACCAATATGTCGCCATCAGCATTGAAGCTTACTGTGTTCACACAACCTCTGTGCTTCTCAAGCTTCTTGTAAATTTCAAGCCGGAGCACAAGATCCTAAAACATGAAGTCTATCTAATCAGAACTAGCTGACATTAGCATTAAGGTTCAATTCCCCAAGTTAAAACTAACATTAACACAAAATCGAAGTAAAAGATCTCTCAAAAATAATAATAGCAATAACAATAGCCGGAATAGAACTGATTCTTCAAACGAGATCACTAGATAGAAAAACAATAAAAAAAAAGGGCGGATAAGGTTATGGAAGATAAGACCTCGGAGGCGCCGAGACGGTGTGCGAAATTCCGGGTGGAGAGCTCACCGACCTCCCGTTGCCAAACATTCACCACAGCCTTATCGGGGTTGGTTCTAGCTCTCTTGTTCATGTCTCGAAAATTAACCTAAAACGAAAACAGCAACGAAGGCGATGATTTTGATTTGCCTCAGATTTGATAGGCAAGGAAGGAAGGAATCTGAAGGAATAGGTTGGTGGTGACTCAGTGAATCAAGGTCGAGTCAATGGGAAGAACTCCCCGGGTTTTGCACAGAGAATCGAGTCATGGCGTGATTCGTAGTCTTCATGTGTGTGTAGATTATAGAATTTTGTGTTGTCTGTCAAAGTTAGGGGTGAGTTTGCATAATGGTGGTGGGCTATGTAGAATGTACCTGAATATGAAAAGGCAAGCATAAATAACTGCTAAAAGAGGACAGTGATGGTATTTCGCTTAAAATTATTATTTTAATTAATTATATAATTACTATTTAGCCCCTGCCTGGGGTGTTCCATTCTGAAACGTGGCACGTCAGTGAGGCTTATACTACAAATTTCACACGTTTGGCTACACGAATAAAATAGAGAGAATTTCTTTAATTATATATTGAGAAAATGTAGGTTAAAATTTTTTTGTTTTTTGTTTTTAATAATGTGATGATTTAAATTTTAATATTATAATTTAAATTCATTTATAAATCAATTTTACTTATCTTAAAATTAAATATATATATAAATATTGTGATGATGGATTATTAAAATTGTATAATAGATACAAAAGTCGTGCACCACGTAAAATATCCAATAATTTTACTTGTCCCTTTTCATTAATTTTTAATAAATTTTAGTAAACAATTGAACGCAAAAGAAAACAGTATTTTTTTTATAAAAAAAAGGAAAATAGGGGTTTCGATAATTAAAAATTAAAAAAAAGAAAAATAATTAATTATAAATTGATACTTAATAATATTATTTAATAAAAAAATGCTAAAATAGATTATAAGAATAAAATATAAATTTTTCAAACAATTATTAATTTTAATTTTTCTTCATTAGATGAATAAAAAATTAAGAAAAAAAGATGATATATTCCAAAAAGTTGGCTTTTCTTGTGATAAATAATTTTGAAAATAACATGAAATAAAACCTTTACTAGTCACCATGTATTTATGAAATAAAAGATTATTTAAAGTGTT